TGGTTCTTGTATCCATCCCATCACTCCTTGACGTATAATCGCCCAACTAACCCTACACCAACTTGATTTTAATTGGTGCAATTTTATGGGCGATTTTGGAAAAAAATATCCTGCGGACTGATTTTGTGGGCAAAAAATTCTTGCAAGAAAATTATCAATTAACCTAGCGCAAAAAAATTCCCCTTGACACTGAAAAGAAAGATATCTTTCATTGCGTATAATGCTGGAGGCCAGTAATCTTACACAGGAGCCTATGGGCTCCTGTCTTACACCGCGTTGTATGTCAGGAGAAAAACTCTATCACCAGAGGACCCAGAGGTTTGGAAGAAAAATTCTTACCCAAAGCAAATCACCCATACCTCCCCTAAAAAGAAGTTCGGCCCCTTAAATATCGGTAAACTAGCCCGTGGACACAGATGTATTTCGCTAACTTGCATAATCATCTCACTTACATCTTACACTTCACCCTATCAACATTGGAGTGCTGAAGCATCAGTAACTATGAATTATTCAAGTAGCGAATTGAAAATTCAATCGATCCCGGTAACTCGAATCCCCGCCAACTCGAACGAACTGTTTTTCGTTTCCTTCAGAGTTCGAGTAGCCGGGGCTTTACTGTGGTTCCCTCGAGTCACCATCCTTTCCCCTGGCTCCGCCCCACAAAATTCACGTAATATTGCGCAACATCTTTCCGCCCAAAATAACATTGACGTGCGTGACGTAAAGAGTAGGGGATTTAACCTTCGTCATCTATTCTTCATCCCAACTAACCATGGCTTCGGTGGTGGCAGATACTTTACGGCTGACATTTAAACTTTTGCTTAGCAAGGTGCGCGATACAGGAGCCGAGAATCTTAAACACGGAGATGTCAGCGACGAGAGATTCAGGGATTTCATCGTCCGCGAACTCACGGCTATACGCGAAAAACTCGAGGGATTGTGCAAGATGGATCTCATCTCTTCCGCCAACTTTTTCAAAGATGGGGTCAGTTTAATGTACCACAGCTTTACAAAGTCTGGAAAAGGTGGACCAAGCATTAAAACTGAAGTGTTAACGTTTAAGAGCGATTTTGACGACGTTAGCCTTTTCAATACTGACGCAACTAATATAGAACTAGATGAATGGGAAGTTCTACATCTCATGTCTGACGGATTGCAATTTGACAAAATCGATTCCGAAGACAAGTTTTTCATCGAAGCTAAAGATTTTCTCAAGAAAGCCGCTGAAAGCGCTATTAAGGCTTTTAGCAATGAAGGTTTGGACATTTACGATCGGGTCTTGTCAATGAAGTTCAGAGTTGCGGCGACCATGCTAGAGTTCATTGCCGAACCGGAAGTCGCAGTGGTGTTGTGCAAAAACTATCTCGAGCAGTTGAACAGTTTACCGGAAGTTCGTCGGGTATTTTCCGTGCGGTTCGGCAGCTTTAACTTGAGAAAGCTGTTTTGCGAAATGAAAAGGGAAGCTCTTATCAGTGCAGTGGTGTCTATAAATCGCATCTTGTGGGAATATTTACATCTTTGCTCGAAGGGTGACGAGTTTCTTCGAAATTGGCCCGAAATTCCTGTAGATTCCTCCCACAAAATTCACCCGGTCTTGAGCAGGGAAGTTTGTAGGGGTTATTTCTGGTCTTTTGGTGAGTTCCGAGCAGATCCAGCGCAATTAAACGGCCCGGTTGACATCGCCACGAACAGCAAGGGTGATTTCTTAGTTGCCGATCGATATAACTTCCAGATAAAAATGTTCTCAAGGGATGGCGCATTGAACGAGAGAGTTTGTGAGCTCGCCTTGCTGCAAACCTTCAACGAAGACACGGTAGTGACTAACCTTCTTCACCCTCAATGCATTGATGTCGACAAAAACGACAGGGTCTATATTGGAAGCAGCTATAAATCCTACATAAACCTTCAGTTCACAAACGAAATAATTGTGGTAGACAAAACCGGGAATTTTTGTTGGAGTTTCGGACGGGGCCTGCCCAGCTTCAATAAAGGCAAATTGACAAGTGTTGCTGTGGATAGAAACAGGGACAGAATTTTTGCGTTGTGTGAAAAGACTGTGTTTGTTTTGAACACAGACGGGACTTTCTTGTCATGCTTTACGTTCACTGGCGACTTCACGCAAGCTCAGGAGTCACATATGTGCGTGACAACGCGAGGCGACTTGATCGTGACAGCTTTGAACGCTGTGTTCGTCATTTCCAAGCGAGCTGCAAACGATCCGAGCCTTAAGTCGCGTACTATTCTCCCGTCCCTGTTTATCAAACCTCACAGGAAAATTCCTAGCAACTTTACTCCATCAGGAATAACTTTCAACCCTCACACTGAAGAAGTTGTTGTAGTTGACCGGGCCAGCAATGCTTTAGTAGCGTTTGACCCTGTGGGTAATTTCAAAAGGAAAGTCTACTTTTATGAGAAATACGCATCAGGAGGAGCGACCATTACAAGAGACGGTCACGTGGCCGTTGCTAGTAAGTCAACCAATAAGGTTTTAGTATTGTGAATCGACAACCGGACAGTTAATGCATTGCAAATCCAGCTGAATGGCAATCTATGTCAAAAACACAGAGAAAACAAGATACTTGTACGAGATCCTCCAAAATTTTTGTCATTTATTTTATTATCATAAACTTGACAGACAAGAAAACAATATAAACAAAACAAACTACGAGAAGAGAAGAAAGAAAGAAAGAAGTTGTAGGTAGTTTGGGAAAAGGGCGTGAATGAGAAGTGAACTTACACAAATCAATGCAAATCCCATTAATTTATTCAATAAAATAACATTTTGCAAATTATCATTCTTCGTTTTTTCCTAGTGTTTAAGAAGTAAAGCCGATCTCTCTTTCCGAACACCTCTTTAATACGGACAGCACCCTACTGACGTCAGTTCTTTTGGTTCCAAGGATACCAAGCTTCCACCTTTAACACGAACACCTCTGGTCTGTAATACGGACACGTGTCTTTGTCTATTTTGAGTCCTAATTAGGGAGGCAACCTCGTTCCCAGGTTCCCTCTCCTACCTCTCTCTCGAACCCTGGGAACGAGGTTGGAATGTACATTCACTCATATTTAGGATGAGAAACATTTAATTTCACATTTACAATGCAACCCCCGTCCAACTCCCCCACCCATAGCGGCCATTGGTCATTTCAAAGATACTCGCGGGCAAGGGTCGATGATGACGAATTGCACCATGGGATTGTTTGGGCTGTTTTTCCGTCGATCGTAAGATCGTCAGGATCGAGTATGTACCGAGGGGGTCGGCGTAAGCCAAACTGTCCCCCGCCCCCTAAGTAAATTTGACACTTATCCAATTCAAGATGGTCGCCCGTAACGCAAAGCGCTCGTTCTCGACGATCTTACGGAAAAATTGGGGACTGTGAACAGTTTAGGGACTGTTTCTTAACGGGGTCAAAATTCGTTACGATATGCCGTTTAAATGACCAAATTTCAAGCTGTATTGACGGGGTTGCCCTGTACTAAGGCCTGAACCTGATGATTTGCTTTCACAAAACATTCGGCTAGTCCATTTCCGTAATTTAAAAGTCAGGAGAAAAATCAAAATGTTCACAATTTGTAGGGCGTGGTGAAACAGTGTTTCTCTCTGTAATTTTAATTCTAGTCTTTATCATTATCTGCTTTCTTTTCTTTAAAATTTACCTATTAGCATTGCTGCACGCAAGCTGATTGACATCTACTCAAACTAATCAACGAGACAAAAAAGATAACACAATTTTTATGCGAATAAAAATGTACGATAACGGTTAAGAGACCCCCAAGTTTTTAAGCTTGGACAACAACACTTCATTTTTGTGGCACTCCTGCAAACGAAAAAAAAAAGATATTAATGAATTATTAGCACAAGATCATGATGGCTAACTTTTGGCAGTACTTTTCAGTGGTAGTTCTTTATATTTCTAGTCCGGTGATAAAACCCAAAAGTGTGAAAGAAAACTACAAAGCAGTACTTCTCTGTGGTATTGTTTATTATGCTGTTCAAGGTGGTTCTAACTTTTACGTTTGGTGATGAAATCATGAAGTGTGACCATTCAAATGAAAGCTACAAAGCAGTACTTTCTTGCGGTACTGTTTATTATGCTGTACAAGGTAATTCTAACTTTTTCAAGAGTCGTAGAATGAAATCCTAAAGTGTGAAAGCAACTAAGCAGTACTTTCCTGTGGCACTGTTCATTAAACCGGTGTCATAGACATCACAATATCGAACTTACTTTTTGCAGTTTCTTGGGTGAAAGACGTTGATGTGACAAACAACTAAAACACTGAAAAAGCGTTTTATCTTGCTCATCGATAATGCTGCAAAGCGGTCGAAATCTCACTCTCAACTTTAACCCTCATTTTTTTTTATTATCTCGTCTTCCATAACAATGTTGTACAAATAACGACGGAACAACCACATATAGACCTACCTCGGTGAAATCTTTGACTGTTTTGAAGTACAACCTTTCCTGTTCAACAATATCGAGGTACTTTTGGTTCAACGCGTCACGCCTCTGTTTTTCTACAGCTTTCTTTTTCTCAATCTAACAGAAATTGAATTAAGAAAAAATAAAAGTATTAATTGCTTGGTAATTACACTCAAAACCCGCGACTAAGAACCTGGATTTTACATGTTACGCTAAAATTTGCAAGTAAGGTCCCCATTATACAAGAACCTGTTTAGCCTAAAATTTGAAACAGGCTCTTACTTTCTAAAATCCATTTAAAAAATTCTGAATAGTTGGGCAAATAAGTCACCATTCAGGATCCTGCCTCTTTGGAGACATAGGTGACTTTATATTACTCCAACTGCAATTGTAATGGTATACAGGTTTTACAACAACAATAACTTTTATTGACCCCTTATTAATTAAGAAGTATTAAATTTACATGAACTTAAAATTAAAGCTACAAGGGGTGTTAGCTTCCTGAAGTATATAGAGAGTTAACAAGTCTAGGAAGCCAAATAACAGAATAAATTACAATATTAGGGTCGGAATGACACTAAAAAAGTGCAACACAAACGTGCACTCATATCTAACTGAAAAAAAAATCAAACAAATTATACAGGCCAGGTTAGTAGGTAAGTAGAACACAGAAAACACAAACAGAATAGAAAAAACTGTAGGAAAATTCACAAAAAGATGCGGACGATGAAAACAGCCATCTTTTCTTTCCGATCGCTTACCCACGGAATGAGCTTAATATACCACTAACAAATACTCTTCACTACAATGCATTTTTTCTTCAGAAAAAAAGAACCTATTTAAGAAATTAAATAGTCTAAATTTGTGTAAATTATCATTTATGTAAGAGCCTGTTTAGATTAATTTGGGAAACTGCAGGTTCTAAGTCGCGGATTTTTACTGTTCTTAAGTTTTGCTAAAACACTTCGGGGTTTCGGAGTTAGTAGTACCCTGAGGAAATTGGACTAATGGATGCATGAACCAGCCAGTGAGGCTTGTGAACAAGTTAGGCTTGAGTATCTTGTCTTACCCTCTCCTTTTTGTCGACAATTATAAGTCTCGGGTTTTTACTGTTCTTAAGTTTTGCTAAAACACTTCGGGGTTTCGGAGTTAGTAGTACCCTGAGGAAATTGGACTAATGGATGCATGAACCAGCCAGTGAGGCTTGTGAACAAGTTAGGCTTGAGTGTCTTGTCTTACCCTCTCCTTTTTGTCGACAATTATAAGTCTCGGGTTTTTACTGTTCTTAAGTTTTGCTAGAACACACAGGTTTCGGGGTTAGTAGTACCCCGAGGAAATTGGACTAATGGATGAATCAGCCAGTGAGGCTCGTGAACAAGTTAGGCTTGAGTATCTTGTCTTACCCTTTCCTTGTTGTCGACAATTCCTCTGACTATACTGTCAAACTGTTTTAAGAACTGTTCTTTGTTTGAGGGAGATGACATTGCTCTTAGAAAGACATGAAGAAAAACAAAAGGATCGTCAAGATCAAGTTTTCGACTAATTCTCGTTCTCTGCGAGTCCCTGGAACTGTTCATCCACCCACCTCAACCCAGCACCACTCACAGATACAAAAACAAAACAAATAAAATAAATACTATACATACACAAAACTCCCCATCAACACAAACAAGCAAACAAACAAACTTATCATTATCAATGAACTAATGATGAAGCACACTTTAATAATGGCGTTTTTTCACTACAACTGTCAGGAGACATCTAGTTTCCTTGTTCTAGGGCAAATTAGGACTATCGCAGTTTAAAAACCACTGGGATTAGGATTGCGAAATACTATTGAGAAAGGAAATTGGATTCTGACAGTTATCGTAAAATAACATCATGGTGAAAATGGCCCATTGGGCAGCTGATGAATGGGTTTAGTAGCTGGACAGTCATGTGGAAAGAAAACGCCATACAGGAGAGCTAGTAGCCTGTAAAGCAGGCGTATTTTGCAGTGCGAACGATAATACTAATGTTTTCCCGTATCTTGGACGTTAAAACTGACAGAGAGTTGGGGCGAGTCAAAAAATGATTCCAATGGGAAATTCCAATGCTGCCCACCCCTCCTCCCTTAGTTTTTTAATTGCTTTCGAGATGGCGGCCGAAATCAATGTATCTCTGAGCTTTCGTTAAAAAGCACTATTTGATAAGATGTAAGCTCTTTGTTTGTCTTACACCAGGACGATTTTGTTTCTCTTTGTGCCACGTGACTGACCAGCTGCAAAAAGGCCTTTTTTCTTTCAATATAAGAAATATTTGTAAGTGCAAAAACGAGCGTACTTACTGTTCAAAGTTATCATGGATGGAATTCAAAAGGTTAACCTGGAAAAACACGAGGTGAATGTTAGAAAAGCAACGACACTGCAGTACAAGAGGAAACGCTGCGTTCGGTTTTTGTACTGGCATCTTCATCCAATATTTTGTTTAATCCACCCTCTCTGCGTAGTTGAGATCCGCGGAAAGTAATTTTGTACTAGGAGGGTCACGCCCTTAAAAAGATCCCGCAGTGCAGGGCTCCCCCAGTAATTATTTACCTTGAGCAGACCTTTAATACGTTTCTGTCCTATATTGCCAGGTCGTCAATCCCGGCCTCAATTATTTTATTTCAAGATTATTTGAGAGGGGCATGGCTCTTGGTTGTGTTTAATAGAGAAGTAGGGTTATTTGAGAGGAGGAAGGCTCATTTAATTAAGCGGAGATGATGGTATCAATTCTCCATAAAGAGCTAAAACGCAAAGTGGAAAGCTCAGGCACATGAAGATGGAGGTCCCGCATCCGAAGATCAAAAACCATATCCGAACTACCAGCATGTGAATAAACCATAGCGTACCGGATCACTCCACAATAAGTGTTACAGTCGTGATTGACTAAAGCAGTCCATGATTTTTACTTTTGTTGTGATCACTTTTGTCATGAAGAATAATAAGTGGGATGGGGAAGGGGTGCTTAAAGAGAGGAAGAGGGTTATCAACTATTTCTCCCTTAAAAGAGGGGCTTATAACAAAAGAGAGGCTTATGTGAGAGGGGGGTTTTCACG